ATTTTAAGTTAAGTATATATCTTACACACATATTTACACCAATTTTAGCTTATTGATTTGCATATATTGTAAATCGCACATTGCAGATATTCCATATTTAATATACGTGAATACTAGAGTTTGTACTAAACGCTTTTTGATAGTAACATTCGCAAAACCAAATAATGTTTTTAACCTGTAAATTGTAGAGTACATTTTACATTAGAGAGGAGAGAGAGAGAGAGAGAGAGAGAGAGAGAGAGAGAGAGAGAGAGAGTGAGAGAGAGCGAGAGAAGGTGAGTAAGAGTGGGTGAGTGAGAGAGATGCAGAGAGGTAAGAAGAGTGAGTGAGTGAGAGATGGAGACATGGGAGGGAGAGGGAAAGTAAGAGAGATATCTAAGTATTTAAAAAGAGAGCTAAAACGAGAATGACATTTTCAAGAAAAGATAGTGTGCGAGGAGGGAGAAAGTGAGACAGCGAGAGAAAATAAAAATGAGGCAGAAAATCAGAGATTATTGGAAGATGGTTGAAGAAAATGAGAAAGAAACTAATAAAGAGAGTATCCAAAGGAAGGGTTAGTGTCCGTGGGGCAGACGATAATACATTGGAAAAATTTGGAACTAAGACAGAGTAACAGAGAAATAAGAGAAGAGTTAAGGTAGCGGAGGAAGATTTTACTTTTTATTACAAATGGATTTCGGTAAGATTTTGATCTATGCCTTGGTATAATAATATTACTAGTAGAAGGTCTTATATTTTTATTATGAAAACTAATAGAGCCCAACTTTTTGAATAACTTAAATTTTTTTAAATATTTAGAACTTTAAATTTGTCATATAAACTGTAATAATACTTAAGATTAGAGAGAAAAAGAGATAGAGTGGAAAAGAGATAGCGAGATAGTAAAGTGAGAGGGAGAGGGCGAGAGAGAAAGAGAGAGAGACTGATTATACTTTTCTGCGAGTTCCTGTAATTTTTTCTTTTACCCCATACATTTCTATACTTATGCTTACTGAAAGAAAGCCAGCTTTTAAAAAGAAAAATTCAGTACTTCAATTATCTTCGAACGTCTATATAACGATAGAGCACGTAAAACGAACTTTTGCTCTTCACAAAACATCGAGTTGGCCTCATCAATTATTCCTTCCTACCGCACCCCTTGAGTACATTAACTCAGAGTTAAACTGCCACCAACTTGAACAGTAAAGTTTGACCGAGTGTTCTGCCAGTCGATCAACTATTGCAGGCTGTTCATGCTCGAACATGCGTGGGTCCGCTTATATTCGCTGGTTGTTGTCTTCTATTCAATTAGCATATGTCTTTAATATTCACGATTTAAATTGTATTTTTTTTTTTTTTGTTCGTTATTAATATATATATTACATGCGTTATTTTTCCTGTTAGACGTTATTTTATTCATGAGTGTCTCATTTTCAATTTTTTGTTTTAACAAGATCACTTCATTTTTGACTCCCCTATTGTTTATTTTTATCGCCAAATTGTTTTATTACGTTATTTGAATAGTGTTATTCTTTCGCACGTTGTTTTTACTTATTTTTATGGCTTTATGTACTGGCGTATTAGCCAGTGTACGATTCCGTTGATTGTTCCATCATATATAAAAGGGGAAGGGTAGCGTGAACAAACCGGCCAGTGGCGCCGGTGGAATCGAACCCTCGACCTCGGGGTCTACAAGCCGAGAGTCTATCATATATCATATGTATACTCAAATCTAATTATATTATAAAATAACATTTTGGTAAGTGCATTTGTAAATTATAAACCTAGTCAACACGTTAACCTTTAAATAACATAATTGAGATAATATATAATTTATTAAAGGTAAATCCGCGTATCTTTTGTACAGTCTGACAAGATAAGCGGTCTCCTGGAGTTTAAATTGTTTTTCATCTAACTTGCCAAGTTTGAACTTTGTTTAAAACTTACGTAACAAAACAGGGAAGACGAGTATTTCCATTGAAGCATCAAACAAGACAACAGCATGATGTAAATTGTTTTGAGTTACATAAACCTGAACTTACAAGTAATTAAGAATGCAATTTTTTAAATTTTAATTTAAACCTTTTGCCAAAAATTTTATTTTTAACGAATCTAATTGAAAGAAATAATTATCAGCTGATGATACTTTTCTTATGGTGTACCGTACTAAAAATTATATATATTATAGGGTCATCATAAAGTCCTAAAACACATAAAAATAAACGAGAGGGCAACAATAATGTCTGACAAAATGAAATTAAAAGAAAATTTTGATAGACCCTTCCAAACAGAAATAACAACAATATATTTTTGAAATAATAAAAACACAGTAGCAGTATTATGGTATGTAGATAGATCTACACGGACAGAACAAGTAAGAGAAGTAATCAAAGTCCCAAATTTTGGCCTGGTGAAACGTCTATGCCCCTTTTCCGCGTTCCAAGCTGAGAACCATGTGACAGAACTCGGTGCACAAGCCATACATCAAAAGAAGATTAAAAGGTGCACAGAATTACATATTCTCAGACAGCAAACAGCGCTGAATCTTCAAAACCCTTCACTTTCAGCTCTTGGGAAAATGTATCAGTTAACTCTGATGATGCTGCCAAGAGATGATTGAAGGCAATGAACAAGCTGACAAACCAGGAGCAGTTGGCATGATAAACGTGGAACTGGATAAATGGGTGTAGAAAGAATTGATTTCACTTCTGATCTTGAGATCTCTAGATAATGATCTCTCTCTCTCTCTATCTCTTTCTATCTATCTATCTCTTTCTTATAAAGTACAAAAATTATACGATTTCTTCTTGATTTTTTAGCACTTTTGAATCGGCGAATAGGCATTCCTTGTTTTTTAATGATTAAACTTTGGTCTCTCAACTAAATTTGTTTCTATTATAAGGCCTCTTCTGACATACTACTGATGATGCATTGATGGAGTTGAGTGTAGATGGAGTTTGCAAAACAAGGGTCACTTTTAAGCCCTTTACTATTTTTCCAACTCCTTAACGATCTCGAAGTATCAATCGATTGTGGTGTAATACTGGTGTACACTGATGTTGTAGTGCCCATAGCTTGGAATCTACAAGCATAACAATTTATGATTAATGGTATTTCTCGTTATATAAGTGAAACCTTTGTATCAATCTAGATAAACAAAAAATACTACTGTTTTACAAATTGCCGTAAGATGGATAAAAAGGAAAAATGGTACTTGGTAAGAGGGGATAGATGTAATAAATGAATACTCATATTTAGACATTATCCGCAACCTATTTTGCCATATCTTGCCATATACATTTCAAAATAAAAATCAATAAAGACAACCAAGGAAAAAAGCACTATGTGGTCAACTTTGCGGCAAAAAAGGTATTTATTACTCCTCCAAAGTTAACCTTTTTAAAATAATATACCAGACGTTGGTATGCTATGGTGCTCAGGTGGGGTATATATGTAAGCATATAAAAAGTAAAAAAATAATGGTAAAAATATGTAAACAAATAAATTTTAAAAAATGAATATGTATACATATTAATAATATAATATAATGTTTTAAGTAATATCTTTTCTTTGCTTTTTAAAATGAATTAAAATTTGAACTACATATTTGTTAAACTAATTATAGATTACAAAATTGGAAAATTATTTCAAATGTAATTGAAGGTATACTTGTTTGGTGATGCACTTATGATATTATTTTTTATTATGATTTTATGTTATTTTCTCTTTTTATTACTATCCAGATTCCCCATGTAAATTACAATGTATAAAATTGTCTTTAAAAAAAATGTGACTATTATTGACAACTATTTTTATGTCAAACTTTTAAATTTACAAACAATAATTTTGAAAGTACACACGCTAAAAATAATAAATTGTTGATATTTCTACTACTACTACTACACTCTCTTTCTTGGTGTATATTTTTGTATCACCCTCACTCTCTCACTCTCTATAACGCTCTCTCTTTCCCTCTCACTATCTCTTACTTTTCTCTTTTTCTAAATCTTTTCCTTTTTCTAAATTTTTCTCTGATAGCCTATTTGCAAGTCTCACAGACACACAAAAACGAACTCACTCATTGTTGTGCCAAATTCTTATTGTCTTTTCACAACTATCCATTTTTAATATGTTTCGAAAGAAGAATAAATGTTTTAAGGATAATTAATCTTCAGTAAATGTTATCTCAAGACAATGTAAAACTTGGTTTAAAAGTTTGCATTTTTTAGGTATTGACAGCTCAGTTTGTTTTCCCAGGCATTATCTACAAATTTTTATATGTTTATCTATCTCTCGCTCTCTCCCTCTTTCAACTTTCCTCAGTCTCACGTTCTTTTTCGCACTGCTCTGTCTACTTAGGGCTATTTACAACCATAATTCACAACCATTACATTCAATGAAAGAAAAACGAATATAAGAAGAAAACCCCACCAGCAGTCAAATTATAATTGTTGTACTTCGAATGTAGTTCAAAATTGCGCAACATGACTTGTATATTTGACTGGCTTAGTATGTTTTCACCTGCCATTGTTCAACAATCATTACTGTCATCAAACGTTCTTATTGATATGTAGGAATAAACTTTCTAAATTGTATACTTCACATGTACCAGAAATCATAATCATGCAAAAACCTTAGTTAGAACTAACTAGAATTTGAACCTTATTTTGTTTTTTACTTGAATATTTATATTTGAAAGGATATATTTAAAAATTTTGAGCTTATATGTCATATCATCAAGATTAAGCTTATTGCTTGGTTGATGTTTTTTGTAAATGTCATGGGGGTTCTAGAAGAGAAAGTGACAATAAGGTTTCTATTTTTTCAGTTTTCTTATCTATTTCTATTATTATTATTATTAATTGATATAATTTCCCGCTTTAAATGGGATTTTTCTTTTTTTCTTTTGGTGAGGAATTATTTTTTTCTGGAAAAATGTGTTCAGTAGTTCTTTGCCATTTTCCAAAACAAACCCTGTGAGAACGAATAGAAACGAGTGGGGGCAGCGTCCCAGATCCCAGCTATATAGGTACCCGAACAGGGGGGAATGGGTCACAAGTCGAAATGGAGAGGAGGTTAGCGTTAGTCCTTGGACTCTTGGTGGTCTCGGCATCTTCGGAGGACCCAAACGCAGCGGCAGACGGGATTTACTCCGAATGCGTTCTGTCCCTCAACTACCCCTGCCTCCAGAGGAAGGCGCTCGTCTTCATCGACCGGCTCGGCCGCTCGGAAAAGTTCCCCTTGGTCGGTGACGGTATCATATCCCTGGTCAGGACTTCGCCACCGGCCGAGGAAATCAAGGAGGAATCGCTGAGGAGCCTTGACGGAGACACACTGGGAGATATGGTCGACACGTCGGTCGTCGACTTTTTCCAAACTCACGTTTTCAGGCTTGATTTACCCGATTGGCTCAAAACGCCGGGTTCGAGGTCGGACAACGCACTTGACTTCTACGTTGGCGATAATGAAGTTGAAGAAGGTATTTTATATTTATCTACATTTAAATTTGAGTCCTTTTGGCCATTTCCTTTTTAAAATTTTATATCTGTCGATCAAACATGAAAAATAGTTTAATTTAATATATAAAAACAAACACAACTTAAATCACGAAGTCATTTTGATCTTAAAGTTCAGTATCTTTAAGCGCTTTAACTCTTTAAAAAAAATTTATGCTTTTTCAAATTTATTTCAGAAATAAACTTTAGAACAAAACAATAAATTATTGCTCAAGCTTCTCGCATATTTAAATATGGGCTGGTTTTCAAATCCAAAAAGTCCTTTTAAGTGTTTCAAAGTTTCTACAGTTTTTTACAATAAAAACTACTTAGTCCATTTTTACCAAGTAATACTGAAAGACAGGGAAAAAAAGATTTCACTAAAATATCCAAATGGTGGAACGCGTCTGACCTAAATATACAGCGAAAATAAGCGGACCAGGACGATCAAGGACCCTTTTTTTAAAGAACGAAAAACCTTTTATTCTTATTCTATGGGCCATTATATCGAAGTTTATTAAAGGATAATGAAAAAACATGCATAATATAATCGTGTTAAAAAAAGAACTGGCCACAGCCAACAATTGAAAATTATAATAACTATTAAATTTGCAAAGAAAACCTGTATGACACATCCCTTCTTTGATTTAGATATTTGTTGATGTGTTCACCGAAAACGGTAGAAGGATTAAGTAAGTGAAACTCAGCGGACCAGTATCTTTAAGGCTTTTTTATTTATACAAAAAATTCATTCTTTAATGACACAAATAAATATAAATTTACGTGATGTTCTAGGCAGTACTTCGCATTTTACAAACAAAAAAATCAGACTTGAAAATTGCAATAATTATTAAGTGTATTTCCAAAAAGTATGATGTCTGGAGATTTTTTTTTTTTGGCAGAATACCAAACTGGTCCGTTTATTCTCGCTGTTTCAAACGCTATCACTCGCTCAATATGAATGTGTTGCGAGACTCTTCTGACCACAGTGATCAAAGTCTTCTTTTAAAAAAAAATTCTTTTTATGGAAGTTACAAGAAACATACATAAATATAAATTTACGTCACTTTTTAGACCCTATTTTGCGTTTTCAAACGAAAAAGGTAGGCTTAAAAATAGCAATAACTATTTAATGTCTTTTTTAAAACGTGGTGTACGGGGATGTGTTTTGACACGAAGCGGTCCGTATATTCTCGCTATTTCACACGCAAACAAACGCTGAAGATGAATAAGTGCTGCGAGATTCTACAGACCAGGATGATCAGGGCTGAAAGATGTAAACGTCACTACATATCAATAATAATCTGTTTGGCATACCCTGACAGGCACATCTAGTTTTCTATGTATTTTGTTCATCTTCTTTAGGGACAAGCACAAGTACAAAAAATAATAATAAAATTATAAAAATTCATGTTCATGTTGCAGACAGTTTGTTTTTCCTATTTTTTCAACTTTCAACTTTCAAAAAAAAAAACGCGCTAAAATATTTCTTTGAACCATATCATCTCAACGCGTTAATGTAATCATCTGTAAAATCGGACGGCGACAATTGGATGGAAATGATATTGCTCCCTGAAGTTTGTTAGGAATGAATAAATGCATGCAGACAATGAAACAGTAGTCAACAGATGTCACAATTGTGAGGAGGCGTTCACATTTCTACCATCATAACCAAAAGCTCTAATTTAACGGAAGAGTAATGACGTTTTGTGACCTCCGTTGATTAAACGCTATTTAATAATGCATAATGTGATATGATTTGAATAAGGACTTGATTTGAATGATTTCAATGGCCAATAGTCTAAGTAAAAAAAAATATTTTTGACAAGTCTCATATAAACAAATATTTACACATTCTAAACACAATAACCCACTCAAAATTAATTAAATAATGAATAAAAATATAAATAAAAGGAGATAGCAGTAAATCAATTACATGAAAGAACATCAAATGTTAAACACTCACGATAATAAAACACGCTAACTATAAAATATCATTGATATTAGTAAAACACACAGCTTACAGAAAAGGCAATAAAAGGGGGGGGGGTCTGTGGCAGCAACGGTTTAGGCGTTGACACGGCGTTCATCACTGTAAGGTGAAGGTCCCGGGTTCGAATCCAGCGGCCCCGACATACTTACAAATAGGCTTTTTTTCAAAAACACCGGCACCCTGAGGGCTTATATGACGAACCTCGTTATAAAAAAATGTAAATACAATAAAATGCGCAAACATACTAAAACTCAGAAAATTGGGCGAACAGAAGGTAAAATCACACTTTAGATTACTTAATTTATAAAACCCCGTTATAAATTTTGAGCAAAAGGCCCCCATGACTGATTGTATCTAAAAATTTTGAATAACCGCACTGTCTTAAGGAAAACATTCGCTAGTTTTATGATAAAAAAAGTAATTTTCTTAAAGAAAAGGATACTAAACGACTGTAGAAAAAAGCGAAATTTGAGAAAAAATATAAAAGGGATATGAGAACTGCGAACAGTCGTAACAAAGCCAAAATACTCAGAAAAGTTCACGAGACAAACATTGAAACTTAAACTTGGTACAACAATTTTTGATTATGAAAAAAAAACTGTTAACCAAAAACTTCTGATTATTAAATTTTTGTATCCTACTATTAAATACTTAAACCATTAAAACTAGTTGACTAAATTAAATTTGTTTCATTGTGAAGACATTACTACTACTAATTACTCTCAAGGGCTTAGATGACCTTAAATTCTCTTACACTTACGCCATCTTTATTGAGGGTTAATAATTGGTTGTCTTTTATAGGAAGGAAGAAGGGCGGCGGCGGAGGCGGTGGTGGTAAAAAGGGAATGAAGAAGATGATGATGTCCATGTGCATGATGATGGCGGGCAAGTTCATGATGCTCGCCCCGTTGCTTCTCGGCCTCACGAAACTTGCGGCCATCAAGGCTCTCGTCATGGCGTTCGTGTCGCTCACCATTTCGAAGATCATCATCCTCAAGAAGCTCAAGAGCCAGAAGGGCGGTGGCGGTTGGTCCTCGGGTGGCGGCGGAGGCGGTTGGTCTTCAGGAGGAGGTGGAGGTGGTTGGTCTTCAGGTGGCGGAGGCGGAGGCGGATGGGACAGGAGTTTCTCGTCTCACGAACTCGCTTACAAATCCCACCTTCAGGATAACTCTGCGTGACAAGTCACAGTCAAATAATATCGTTCAACGGTATTCAGAGTACAAAAGTTTTATTTTTGTTTTGTGATATATATATGTAATTACAATTTATTTATTACTTTAATTTATTGTTTCATAAAAAATATATTTTTAATCGAATTTTTAAGTTTTACAGCTTTTATTTTTTATTATCCTTCTCTTTTTCTAAATGGATGAACTCGATAGTATTGTAGGGTTTTTTTAAAATTCTTAAGCAAATTTAGAAATTAGTAAATTTAGTAGAAAATGATGGGTAGATAGAGAGATATGTAGAGTGAGAGTGAATGGGAGAATGAGAGAGAAAGGGTGAGAGTGAGCTTGTGAAAGGCAATGTGAGAGATGGGGAGAAAAAGTGACCAAGCAAAAAATGGGAAGAAAAATTATTTAGACGTGAAAGATGTACAAACATGAGAGCTTGCGAGAAAAATAGATGGACTGATGTGTAGATAGATATATAGATAAATGGATTGGTATATATATATATATATATATATATATATATATAGAGACAGAGAGAGAGAGATAGAGAGAGAGAAAGAGAGTGAGAGAGAGAGAACGAAGAAAAAGAGAGAAAGAGATGTAGAGTAAGAAATTGATAAATAAAGAACAAGTTAAAGAGCGAACGAGAGAAAGTGGTGAAGAAATATATATAGACAAAATTAAAGTAAAAGAGTATGAGAGAGAGGGACAGAGAGTGAGAGAGATGAATTAAAAACAAACTATATACATATACATTAGGTGAAATCCTGCAACTTGAAAATTATTATATTGTATAAAATATATTTAAAAATATCCTGACATTATAAGAGAACTTTATATACAATTTAAGAAAAGTATACATTTTAACAGTGGTAAGTTTTTCTTAGAGGCACGAATGTAAGTTTTTCATTTTCAAACTAATTTATAAAGAAACATTAGGTTATCTAAAAAGCCACAACTTCCGATCCCTGGTCAAGGATGATCGAGCCTTTTTCAAACCTTGACGTCAGGGGAATTATAAAGAAGTCTGTGGAAAACGAAAAGCGGTTAAATTGGGCATATTAGACAAATTAGCGGGTCCTGGAGTCTCCAATAGGCCGAAGGAAATTCACATTTAAACTAATTGTACCGATCTGGGTCAGAGGACAACAAAAGCACTGCAGGAACTCCCAATTAGGAAAAGCGAGACATTCTGAGAGACCGATCAAAGGTCTGTCTAAATTTAAAACTTTCTCTCGGTAGTGACAATCTTCAAAGTAGCGACAGCCCTCGCCCACCGAAGAAACTCGCTCTTATGATCTGCATGAATGAACGTAATGATGAGGAAGAGGAAGGAACCATTGCTGATGTGTTCAAACGTTGGACAATTGAATGGCGCGGATAAACAAAACCCTACACGTTTTATTATTATTGTTAATTAATAAATATCGTAAACCTTACCAGGTGTAAAACTAACGACTATAAACACATACGACTAGATGCACTAAAAGCCTAAAGATCAGGCATGTTAGGGCTTTCAACACTAAGTAAATATAAAATCCAACAAAAGGAAGGTACGAAAAGTAAAGCAAGAACATTCATGAGCTCTTGTAGACTAGTAAAAATCATGGGAACGTCATCAGTGTTAACTCAGTTTGCCATGAAAATGCCTAGTCTTTTCACGGATGAGGCCTATGCGAAATGGTGACGAGTGACTTAACTAATATGAGTGCTGAGGCGGCTGCCAGGATGTATGCTGAGCGTTACCATACACACCATAAACCACATCACTCCGTATTTTCCAACCGCCATCGGAATTTGCGGGAATTTTTTTCACGAGTTAATTTGGGACTTAGTACGAAGTGCTGAATGATTAGAAGCGGTTGATGCTTCATTTCATTGAAGATCACAACTGACTTTTAATTCATAGGCTTAACAGACATATAAACCACCTCGTCCTTTTTTCAAGCGATTCACTATCAAGTCACAACTTAGAAAATTGGCCAAAAATCGTGGCTCCAATGCCCTCATTTGGTCCCCCTTGGTCCATTTTACGTAAAATTTAATTTAGTACAACGTTTAATTCGAAGTGGTGACACTGAAAACACATTAGAAGAAAGTGGCTATTGAATTAAAAAAAAAATCATATCTCGGCAATGGATTAAGATAAAAATGTACGGTTTGTTTCAGTCTACTCAAAATTTAATGCTCGAATAAGTTACTTTCGATACTTATTTTGATAAATGGAGCCATTTGGGATTAATTCTTGAAAAGTTTTTTTTTCTCATATAAGATACCATTTGAGGACCTACGTTTGTTTATAGGAACTTTTTTCTGCATAAAATGCCCTATAAATCCTCAAAATATCTTTGTATCGTTTTTGCTTCTGTGTTTAAACTGTTCTTAAATTTTATATAATGTTCTCATAAAATGTTGGTGTATTTTTTAAATATATTGAATACAATATTAGAAATATGTAGGGTTCCAATCTTCGTAGAGGTCATTAGACAGGTGAAAAAAACACTAAATGGTGGGTTCACTGAGCTTTCGGCACCTTATAGTGCCTTCATCAGGGCTTTCCCAAGGATGAAGAAAACGGTTAACATGAAAACTATTGTACAAGCGTTTTGGGTTTAAGGTTATGGAGCACATGGCCGGCATAATTCATTTTTGACGGTGAAAACGCATCTCGCTAAAGATCCATATGCCTTTTTTGTTTTTGTTCTGACTAGCAATTTCTTTCAGGTACTTTTGTGATCACAGAGAATATTTACAAAAATTGCTTTTTATATATTTAAAACTAAAATTATAGCTATTTACAGAAACTATGTACAAAGGATTAAAATTAAGGAGAGAGAGAGCGCGACCACCCCGTCGCCTCAGGTTGGACTAGACAGCATTCTCATATTCTCTAGTCAAAAAAAAAAAAAAAAAAAAAAAAAAAAAAAGTTTGATCTTTAGTCATATGGATTTTTAGTGAGATGTCTGTTTTCACCGTCAAAAATGTATTGTGCTGGCCATTTGCTCCATAACCTTAAACCCGAAACGCTTGTAAAATAGCTTTCCATGTTAATCGTTTTCTTCCTATTTGGGAAAGCACTGATGATGGCGCTATAAGGTGTCGAAAGCTCGGTAAACCCAGCATTTAGTCTTTTTTTTCACCTGTCTAATGACCTCTACGAAGATTGGAACTCAACATAGATTTCTCCTAATGTATATGTATATACATTTTTTTAATTAATTTTTATCTCTCTCATTCTTTCTCTGTCCTTCTCTCTCACACTCTTTTTTCTAGTTTTGTCTCTCTCTCTCTCTCTCTCTATATATATATATATATATATATATATATATTTCTTTACCAACTTCTCTCTTTCTCTCTTTAACGTTTTTCAATTTTCATTTTTTTTCAAGTTTTCCGTTTTTGAGGTTTTTTCTCATTTAGAACCTATGTTTATAAGAACGTTTTTGCTCAGCATGAAATTTCCTATAAATCCTGAAAGTATCTTAGTTTTCGCCCCACCTGTGTACAGAAACACGTCTACATTGGACTTATTTGCTTTTGATTAAACATGAAGTCTTTTCAGAGGATTTTCGGAATAGGTCAAATAGAGAAAACTTCCTTACGGTTTTCGCCGAGCTTTCGACAGTTTTATACTGTCATCTTCAGGGCCTGTTTTATTATGATATAAACAACCAATTAAAACATGAAAAAACAATAATTACAACAAAAATGGAATATCTTACTTTAAACCTTAATAGGGAATTAAACAACATGGTGCTTTGGGCACAGAAGTACATTATGTTTTTTTTGGGGCTCAGCATCTAAACATTAATTTAAATTGAATACATTAATAATTGAAAATTATAGCTAAAATTACAGTAAAAAATAAAAATTAAAAACGTGGTCGAGAAAGGTTACCTCATATAAATCTAAAAAACCAGTAAAATCCTCCTTTCTGTGTTTTTCAGGTACATGTGATCACAGTGCGTTTCTTAAATATATATATATACATATACAATTAACTTTTTTTAAAATTTAAACAACAATACAGTATGATCACTGATCAAATCAATAAAAATCAATAAAAACAAACCTCTACGACAAGGGGAAACAAAGGCTACGGGATACACTCGTTTTTTTCTCTCCTAGTTAACAAAATCCGCCACTAGGGCGACCTTCTTATTTCCGAAATGGATCCCAACCTATCAGTTTGTAGATTACAAGAACATATAAAATTGTCGAAAGCTCGGCGAAAACCGTAAGGAAGTTTTCTCTGTTTGACCTCTTCCGAAGATCCTCTGAAAAGACTTCATGTTTCCAGCAGGTCGATAATCTAGTTCATCGTTACATTTTGATTAAACGTTCATCCAATAATTTAGGGTTAGGTTGAATTAAAACGAGCAAAGGAATCAAAGAAATTTATATTATACAAACTCGATTAAACAAAAAAAGATATGAATCATTTTCAGAGACAAATTACGCACGCTAGATATTTTTAATCATAAAATATAAAAACTATTTTCTTAAAGATATAAATATCCTTATGGAAAATATTTTTAAAACACCACTAAATGATGTTTAAAACATCATTAGCTGTTTTAATTAAGGGAACTATAATTAAATATACATGGAAAGGTCAACGTGCACGACGTACTTCCCATAGGCGATGAGTTCCTCTCCTAACGGCTTTTTATCCGAGCTGATGTGCGGACATGTGAAAAAATATTAATTATCCTCGCAACGATGAATAGCGCTTTTTAAAGCCTAGGTCTCAGGTGAGTCAGTAGGTCACCAGGGTGTTCCCTCAAGGGCGGAAGCGACCTACGAACACAATAACAAAAACATGAATCTTCCTGAAATGGAAATCTGCCATAATTAAGGAATATTTTACCGATATAATATTAACGCAGTCAGATGGTTTATTTCGTTTCGAATAATATTTTTGTTGATTTATTGTCAATTTAATTATACTAAATAATGTCTAAGGCATTTAAGCAATTTACTACCACATGTGATGATGGGTTTTGGTGTGCGAGTCGGTGAACTCATGCTGAGCCGGCATAGTTTCACTTACTGGGATCTGTCTACACTGGCGGTTTTTGAGGTATTCAAACGCGTTTCGTGATTACGCCAAATTCAATTGTATCATCACAAGAAAGTGCGAAAAATATATATTTTTATGTTAAACAGTTCTGCAAAGCGAAGGATTTCTTGTAGGGGAATTTAGCAGCGATAGAAAGATTTTCTCGGTTCATCCTCCTGAAAACTCTGATATCATGCCATCAGACCATTTTTAGATTTAAGGCATTATATTTTAGAATGATGTTATATTGAATATCTATCTATACCTGTAAGTAAAATAATCGGAAAAATGGATAATATTGATAATATTTAGTAGAGTCGTGAGATGCGGTTTGGTGTGATGTAGGTTTAGAAAAACATTTCCTTTATCGCGCCAACGTATCGACCTTTATTGAGATCATCTTCAGGGACTATCATATTTCTAAACCTACATCACACCAGACCGCATCTCACGGTCTCTTAAATCATTCATTAAGGGTCACACTAAATACTATTTCAACTTTGATATATGCTACTACACATATTTTGGGAAATGGATTTTTTAAACATATAAACAATAATTTGAGAACAATAAATGAATATAGCATAATATGACAAATAGTATAGAAAGTTTTATAATCAGTTTATAATCGTAAATTACGATAGGTCATGTTCTTACGTAGGCGTCACATACGTGACGGACTCCAATCTGCCATTAATTTCCGTCTTCAAATAATAACGATTTGCGAACCCAACAAGAATCTTTTGATCGAATTCCCTTCACAACAGCGGAAAGTTTCATCCTTTGTTTGCACCCTTCCTTGTCTCTCGGGACCGAGGAAAAGCCGGACGGATCGTGAAAGGATTATCCGCCACGGGTCGCGAACTCTGCCCCACTAACTCCAAAACCATTTTGCACGGTTGGTATCGCAAAAATAGACGTGCAGTGGATTTATTTTCGCCTGAGATCATCCTTGAAAAATCCGGTTTAAAAATCGTGAGCCTCCCAAGACTCGTAATTACGAAAAGTGTATTCCACCCCGAGGGGCGCGTACTGGAACGTCTTCAATTTCCTCCGAAAATGACGTTTTGCTGAGATTGAAGCAGTTTGCTTCACTTCTTCATTCCCCTCAATCAATGCTTTGGCCAGTTGGAAGTAAAACGTCCTGTGCAAGTTTGTAATTTTTGTATAAATAATTAATATAAATCTTGCCATCCAGGAGGACTTAACGTCGAACTTACCCGATGTGTGTTGCGGACGAGGGTCAGACAATTTTAAATAATTTCGGTTTTCATTCCCAATTAATAAGCAGTGGGCTATGCTGGGATCAACACAAATACCGCGTGTTCGGCAATAACAGCCATACGCCCGTATAGGTATCATGTAAAAACTAATAAATTCAAACAAATAAATAGGTAGTCTAAATACATTTAATAGATCGACTGAAAAATGGATGTTAATTTTAGGGTGAGAGACTTATAATAGCATTTATAGATAAATAGAGGTGACTAGCAGATGGGTAAGCTTACAAGAAAATAATTGGAAGAAAAGAGAAAAAGGAAATGCGGAAGATGATTGGGTAATAGGGTAAGAGAGAAAGAGAGAGAGAGAGAGGGAGAGAGAGAGAAAGAGGGAGAGAGAGGTAGGTAGAGAGAAAGAGTGTGAGAGAGAGAGAGATGAATTAAAAACACTATATACATATACATTAGGTGAAATCCAGCAACTTGAAAATAGATTGAAGATTGAAGATAGATAGATAGATAGATAGATAGATAGATAGAGGAAGAGAGAGAGAGAGAACGAGAGAGACGGAGATAGCAATAGATAGATAAATAGAGAGAAAGGGAGAGCGAGAGAGGGACGGAGATAAAAATAGAGAGAGAGAGAGAGAGAGAGAGACGGAGATAGAAATAGAGAGAGAGACGGAGATAGAAATAGAGAGAGAGAGATGGAGGTAGCAATAGATAGAGAAATAGAGAGAGAGAGAGAGAGATTGAAAGAGAGAGAGAGAGAGAGATTGAAAGAGAAAGAGAGAGAGAGCGAGAGAGAGATACAGATAGATAGAGAGATAGAGAAAGAGATAGATATATAGATAGGTAGAGAGTAGCGAACAAACAACAGAGGCTATGAGATTTAAAAAAAAATAATGTGGTCGCATAAACATTTTTCAACGCAAAGAACACTTCGTTTCAAAGACAAACGAATTATTAACGGTGAGAAATTCTGCTATTTTTCGAAACCGATCCAATGGCTCCTGTTATTTCCTTTACTGTAGTTTTGAAAAGTGCTAATATTCTCCCTACTACTTACTGTGTGAGTGCATGTAATCTAATCTAAAAAAATCTTGATCGGTCCGATCCAATGATAATTCTAAGTCTCATCTCTCATGTTGCATGGGCAGACGTGAGACCAGTATGATCTTTGCATACCTCATGATGGGTACTAAACCTTTTTTTCTATAATGCTTAGTTTTAGTTCATTTTTTTAAACGCCCCCACTCTCAAACTATCTGTATCACTCACATACACACGCATACACTTTTCTTACATCAACCACTTTAAGCTGCGGTCATCTTTGATCTGTCGATTAATTGCCAGATATTGTTTTTGGGGGGGGGGATGTTTTTAGAAATTAAATTAAAACAAACATTATTGATACTTATGAACCATTCAAGCCCTTTGCTAATTGACCCTGGTACTCGTCACAATTTCAGCACTCACTGCTTATCTGGTTTTTGACCGTTGAACAAACAGGTATAAAGAGATACTTGAAAAAATGGACTGACAGTTCAACTTCAGACTCTATCGTCATTGAGGCCTCGAGGAGGGAAAATGAAGAAGTAAGCTATATTAATTTATTCATTCATGCCTCTTTCTTCAAGAAATATTATGCAATTTAAATTCGTAAACAGTCGTTTTAATGGTTTTCGCATCTTACGCAAAAGCACGGTATCGTTTATACATATATAGCTAAACTTTTACGCTCATAATATCAAATTACTATGTTTTTACGGTACAAATTAAAAAAAAAAAATTAATAAAAACAGCGTAAAAAGGCTGTTACATTTTTTACAACTGATTTTTTATAAGTAGAATGCCTTTTACGAACTACTCCTAAATTATGACTAAATTACAATCTTTATTCAAAAAAGTATTTACGACATGCAATTCTATATAAAAATCAAGGACAAGAAAAATTTGTGAGCAATAAAAACACCAACTTCTTCGTCAAGCTTTCGAGGAATGTTTGTTCTACTCTTCTTCAGGACTTTAAATTTTATTTTAGTGATTTACACGATTAACAGATATAAACATTAAGATTAAAACTTATGCCTAATCATATTTAGTTCATGGGTTCGCTTTGTGGTGTAGTTGAAATGTTCCAACTGTCCGTTCTATATTATATTTGTGGCATGTATAACACACACACACACACACACACACACTCTCTCTCTCTCTCTCTCTCTCTCTCTCACTCACTCACTCTCACTCACTCACTCTCTCTCCCTCTCTATTTATTCAGTCTTTGTCATTCTCTTTTTCTTTATTTTTGTGCATCCAATTACTCCCTGTCGTTAATTAATTTATTTTTCTAGTTTTTACTATCTCTTTCTTGTTCTTTCTGTCTATCCCATACACTATCTCTTTTACTCTTTTAGTCTGCCTCTGTTTTATTTCCTTCTGTATGTTTGTTTATATATATAGTATATGTTATGATTTGCTATCTCTCTCATTTGTCTCTCTACCCCATTGATTTCTTCCTTTATTTTTCTACTGCTCCCTTTGTCTCTTTCGTTGGCAGGAAGTAAGGGCATGTGTGTAATATGCTGTACACCCTAATAAAAAGTATGAAGAGCCAATTATCTCGCTCTCTCTCTCTCTCTCGATCACTCTCTCTCTGGCTCTCTCTGTCGCCATCTCCGTCTCTCTCTTTCTCTCTCTCTCTCTCTCTCTCTCACACGCTCTATTTCTATCTCCGTCTCTCTTTTTGTCTCTCTCTATTTTTATCCCCGTCTCTCTCTCGCTTTCTCTCTATTTATCAATCTATTGCTATATCCGTCTCTCTCTCTCTCTCTCTTTCTCTCTATTTATCTATCTATTGCTATCTCCGTCTCTCTCTCTCTCTCTCTCTCTCTCTCTCTCTCTCTCTCTCCCTCTATCTATCTATCTATCTATCAATCTATCTATCGCTATGTCCGTCTCACTCTTTCTCTCTCTCTCTCTCTATCTTTCTATCGACATCTCCGTCTCTCTCTCTCTCTCTCTCTCTCTGATTCTTTATCCCCATCTCCATTTCACTCTCTCTCTTTCTCTCTCACACTCTCTATTTCTATCTCCGTCTCTCTCTCTCTCATTCTTTATCCCCATCTCCATCTCACTCTCTCTCTTTCTCTCTATTTATCTATCTATTGCTTTCTCCGTCTCTCTCTCTCTCTCTGTCTGTCTCACTCTATTTTTATCTCTGTCTCTCTTCTCTCTCTCTCTCTCTCTTTCTCTCTCTCTCTTTCTCTATCTATCTATCCATCTATCTATCGCTATGTCCGTCTCACTCTTTCTCGCTCTCTCTCTCTCTCTCTATCTATCTATCGACTTCTCCATCTCACTCTCTCTCTCTCTCTCTCTCTCTCTCTTTCTGTATATTTATCTGTCTATTGCTTTCTCCGTCTCTCTCTCTTTCTCACTCTATTTTTATCTCTGTCTCTCTCTCTCTCTATCTCCCTCTCTCTCTCTCTTTTTCTCTCTATTTCTCTCTCTATTTCTCTCTCTATTTCTCTCTCTATTACTATCTCCGTCTCTCTCTCTCTCTCTCTATTTCTATCTCCGTCTCTCTCTCTCTCTATTTTTATCTCCGTCTCTCTCTCGCTCTCCCTTTCTCTCTATTTATCTATCTATTGCTATCTCCGTCTCTCTCTCTCTCTCTCTTTCTCTATCTATCTATCTATCTTCAATCTATTTTCAAGTTGCTGGATTTCACCTAATGTATACGTATGTAGAGTGTTTTTAATTCATCTCTCATCGGCATTATTTTAATATAAAATTTCAAAATGATCATTGGCAAGCTAAAAGCCATAAAATATACTTAAGCAAGAATGTTTCAGTAAAACGGACTCGAACATTTTGGGTGATTTCTTAGATGTGTTATTTCACTATCTCACTAGTTCTTCGTTATGGCTGAACCAATCCAGCAAACAGTGGTTGAGAAGGACCAAATGGCAGGTTCATCACCCCGCAACGTTTTAAGTCGGTTTGTTTAAGTGTGTGTGTGTGTGTGTGTACCTTCTTAATAACTTAGTAAACCTTGTTAAAAAGTGTAGTTTTCATTTTAATAGATTTATAATCAGTTTCGTAGGTTTTTTTTACATTTGCGTAACACATTGTTGCAAAACTTTCCTCTTAAAGAGTTTCATCACCGTGCGATTGTTTTTTAGTTGATAAAGTTGAACATTCTGTTTGTAAACATAAACCCGCAAACATAAACAATGAATGCTTTGTTGTATTAGCAAATTATATTGGTAATGTGAAATGTTTTATGTTTATTTCTGTTTTAACTTTAATACTTTAATAATGGTTACCGCGTCCGAATCGTATTTGTCACGCTAGCGGTTCTTAGTTCAAATCACGCCATATCCCTAGGAATTTTAATTGACAATAATTTGAGAAAATTATCATTAAATTATTGTCAGTTACACCCAACGAGGGACCGCGGTAGCCGAGTGGTTAGCATGAGAGACTCTCACGCCGCGGTCGTGGGTTCGATTCCCACCGTCGTCTCTCGCCCTTTTTTCACAATAACCCCCCCAAATTTGAACACACATATACGACTTGTCACATGGCTAATATGCATAGTTCATAACGCCAAAAAAAAAAAAAAAAAAAAAAAAAAAACATAAGCCTTCCAGTATGACACTATACTTTAGTGTTGTACATTTATTTATTCCAATTGATTATGATTTTACATTTTATCCAAAATATCAATAAAACCTAGAAGTATCTTTACACACAAACATTTTACTCAATTGAATATGATTTTGACAATTGTTGGGCTTCGTGCCTTTTCAGGTCAGTGCTATCGATTTGTATTTCTAAATAAGATAATTGTTTTATATATTGTTTGCATTGTTGAAAATCCATTATACTAATATTTAAATCCTATCTTTTGTTATCGTATTTTCATGTACCGTTGATTGTCATTTTCTGAATATATGTTACATACCTTCCAGAAAGGGGAAAATTTTACAAATCTTGTAGAAATATATACAATTGTTACAGAACGCAATATATTATATTTTTTATAACTATGTAATATCAAAGATGAGATGATGGATCGACATGCTGCTAAACTACGTGGTACGATGCTAAAGTACGGTACAATTCTTTTGGTTTTTGCCGTGTTTTCGACGATTACATCGTCATCATCAAGGCCTGTTTATTATGGGAAAACATAGCAGTTAGAAATATTGTACAATTTCGAAACAAATTTAAAAACAATTATATTATCTTACTCTAACTCGAAGAGTGTTAAAGACTCAAGGCCTATGTTAAACACTCGTCGAGTTAGAGCAAGATAATATAATTGTTTTTAATTTTGTTTTACTGATAAATTTAAGTGCTATTTAGATGTCAAAAAGATGATAGGGTAAAAATAACTTTAAAATGTGACATGATTGTCTTTTTAATATATTCTTGTCTCAATATGTTCATAACTTTATAACTTTAATTCTCTAACAGGTTGACAGTAGCAGTGCTCTTGATTTCTTGTTTTTCATCCGCTTTGGGCTCACGATTTCCTTGGAAATTTGGCACTTGCTTGAGGCCCAGGCTTAGCAAGGAGCTTAACACAACAAAGGTATTGCTAGATTGTTATCTATGTAAGTTATTAATGTTTATAAAAATTCATATAAAACAGTTTCATAAAGGTACTTAAAATGCAAATGTACTTAATACTTAAAATGCAAGATACATTTAAAAATCATTAGAGTTATCGGTATTTAAAGGAATTGTGGACACATACAGCCTTCGATTTCTACCATAGCTTACTCTTTCTAGGATCATCGATATGTAGAAGCTTTATTTTGTTTCAGCATTCTTTTATTTTGGATGATTAAAAAATCATTTTTTGTAGGTTGTTAATGATCAGGTGTGTCCCTTGACCGTAATACTCATCATACATCAAATTAAAAGTCAAGTGGTCGATACCTTCTCTTCAATAACTTAATCCGGTATCAAAAAAAAATTGACCATAATACTGATCATACATCAAATTAAAATTAAAGTGGTCGATACCTTCTCTTCAATAACTTAATCCGGTATCAAAAAAAAATTGACCATAATACTGATCATACATCAAATTAAACTTCAAGCGGTCGATGCCTTTTCTTCAATAAGTTTAAGTTAAATCTAAAGAGTTATGTGTTTTGCATACATTTCTGGCTCTTAGTTGTTGGTAGTGATTGTCAGAAACCTTGAAACGTGATTTTTTTAAAAATTATAAGGCATCTTTTTAAAAAATTGCCATGGCGGATAGACCGATGTCAGGGTATAAACAGTACGTGGCAAGACTGGTTTCATTTATACCATAATTTTCTTTGACCAAAGTGCTCTATACGCAGAACCTTTGTGCTGCTGTGTAATTTTGTATTTTGTAAGATTATAAATCATAATTTGTAAGTCGGTAAGTAGCTCAAAATCTTCAACCATTCTAAAGGTCATCTTTATGTTATATTTCGGCAATTTCAGTCTCCTAGCGGTCGGTAGCGATTGGAATGTACAAAACTTAATAGAAATGATGAATGATGGTACCACCAAGAGGTTGTAGAAATACTTCAACCTGATGATGAGCTAAGGGCTCGTAATCCGATCGTGGCAAACCAACTGACTGTGAACTATCTTTTTAAAAAGGATTGCACAAAACTTGTCATTATATGATCGTTGTTCATAGTATTAGACGTTTAAAAAAAATTTCCATTGGCGGGTAAATCGATGTCAGGATTATAAGCTGGCAAGACACCAATTTCTTTCATCTATACCATAGTTTTCTTTCTACAAAATGCTCTTTATGCAAAAACTTGCTGTGGCATTCCTTTATTCTGGAAGACCAAATATTATATTTTGTTAGTGTTAAAGGGCATCGTTATGTAATTTTCGAAAATGTCTGGCTCCTAGCTGCTGGATTGGAATGAACAGAACTTGTAACGATATGATCGTTTTAAGTATAAGGCCTGCCCAGTCCTTAATCCTACAAAAAATACTAGATGCTCCATTTTATGTAGCGAACCTAACTGGACATACAGACTTACATATCCCTTTCGTACAAAACGAAATCCGTTCCCGTTATCGTAAATTTTACAAAACACTCCCAACTAAAGTAGATCAGCACATCAGAAACCTCGCATCCCGATGAATGCCCTTACACCCTCCCCGCCTACTGAAGAGGCAATTGCCGCGAGATCTCCTAAGAAATGTTGGTGATGATAGTGTATGGGATAATGACACAATAGTATAAATTAAACATACAATATTTTGGTATCATTGGAGTAATACCAATGGGGGTATTTTCTCCACTCTTGTTTTTAATTTTGTGTATATTAACTTCCTCATTGTTACTTGTTACATACTTGAAGGTAGTGGTAATGTACCACAAATTAAAAAATATATAAGGCGTCTTTTAAATGAATAAATAATTCAAGGGTAAATTGATGTCATGGTTATAAAGAGTATAAAAAGTCATTAATATTTTAGTTCAGAGTTAATAGGTCAGCAATCTTCAGATCAAAATAATATGACTCTGTGGCTCCAAACAGTTTATTGGAATTTCATTGAAATGCAAGAACCTGTAAGTTCATCTTAAAATGTATGGGCGAGAATTTTGTTTTTTGTAACATTCCTTTTTTGCCGTATTAAAGAATTATATTTTGAAATAGTTTTTAAGCTATTTAAAATTAAGCCAACAGTGACTAAAGAACAATGTAACAAGGAAACACTTTCATGTTGTTCCATTTTTACGAAATGCAAATTGTCAAAGGTTTAGCCTTATTCAATTAATTATTGTTTTTATGTAAGGTATTGGTTGAGATAAAAAAAAGTCATTGTCACGAGCGGGATTCGAACCCCCGACCTTCGGCTAAATACGCCGCTGTTCTACCACTTGAGCTGTCGTGACTTCGATCCTCCCGGACACCAACTCTCCGTCTCAACCTACAACCGTTCCTCTTGAATCCTGATTACACGACATTTGAAAATGGCAAAAAGAGGAAAAATTCGAACGGATTGTGACACTGACTTTTTTATCTCAACCAATACCTTACATAAAAAGAATAATTAATTGAGTAAAGCTAAACCTTAGACCATTTGCTTTTCGTAAAAATTGCCTTGAATTGTCAAGGTCAGTGAAAGGAAAGTCTGGGTTATAAACAGGTCGTGGCAACCACCCACACTCCTTTCATTGCTAGGATGCGATTGTTTTATTGCAGTATTGCTTTATTCTGTACGATTAAATAAATATACTTTGCATTTAAAAATTTCAGTTTTTCAATGGCCATTGGTACGCTTTGAAAACAGTTGGAAACTATCTTTTTGATTCGCACGGCTCTTGTTTTGGCACTGAGGTCAACCTGAGAAACAACGGTCAAATCGATCTGCTTCATTTTCAATTCGAGTCAATGTAGACACAGATTCACTACATTCAAACGTGTAAATAAGCCGGCAGGAACTTACATTAAATTCTCTTTTCAGGTTTTCAAAATATGCCTACCTCAGGGGCACAGCCCGCGCCAAATTCACCAAGTTCATGGGTGCTTTCTTCCCAGCTAAATACGACTTTGTAGCGGGTGAGACTTTTTTAAATTTTAATTATCAGGTCATCATCTTATTTAAATGCGTTTTTAAAGGATTGTATCAGTACGAAGCACCGTTTGCCATCGTTGACACAGATTACGACAACTGGGCTTTTGTCTATTTCTGTAACCAGTATTTAGGCGTCAAATTAGGTAAGAATATTGTTTCATACAATATTAAGAAAATTTGAAAATGTAGAATATAAAGAAAAAAGCCGTTTGGTAAGAAATGTTTTTATGAAAAGTCTAAAGCATTTATAATTTACGAAAGAAAATTTTGAAGAACTTTAAAGAACGAGGAGTTGAGGAGTTAAGGTATAAATTTTCCATCTGCTGGCAACAAACAAGAAAAAAGCGGATGCCTTTTAAAATATAAAATGTCACATATAATTTAACCTTCCGTGTTGAAAACCTTCACAATTCCTTGTAAAAATGAAGGGGTCGTTGCAGTTTAATATCCTTAAAGCTTTTCTTTTTACAGCTCGTACTAACAGGGTGAAAAGGGCCAAAGGGATTTTTATATTTAAGAATATTCAAAGAATTTTATATATAATTTTTTGTGGTTTTGAAATATAAACAATTCATTCGCTGATAATTATTTTTCCATAACTGTTTTGTTTTAAACAAACCTGCACTTATACAACCTTATACTTATATACATACATATATATATATATATATAAATATAAATACAAGCAAATTGATTGATTGTCCTATATTCTTCGTAGTAAAAATATCGGTAATATTTCATGAATTACTGGTAAAATGTATCTTAGAGAAAAAAAATCTCTTCTGTATTCTTCATCATGCAAGGTTGATAGATAAAATTGTTATTTATATTTCATACTTTCTTTTATTAGATTGGTCAATTTGCAAATTAAAATGTAATAAGGCAAACAAAAATGTTAAACCGTTTGAATAATCGAATGATACAGCGATGGCGGTATTAGCATGCGACCTAGAATGTTGGATTGTTATGAATTACAAATCGTTTACATGTTCTGTACCTAAACTTTGCAAGCATTCCGGTTAGGAATTATTTACATGTTTTGAACTGGAATTTTTTTTTTACTGCAGTTTTAAATTTTTTCAAAAAAATCTAATACCTCAGAAAAAGGTTTGTGGAATCTCATGTTTTGTGCAGAAAACAATACTTGGCCTTTGTAATGTTATTCATAAGAGACCACATAAATATGAAATATGGACATTTTTAAAAACTGCTTTTTGATATAGGTTGTTCATGCATTCTTTGAAAGCTTTTCCATCCAAAACTGATAATCCCTAAAATTGGCAAGGAATGCTTGGCAATTTTATTTTTAGATGGTTGCCTTACTTAAATACAGTGTAAATAAATAACAAATCTTAATAGTATTTAATGGACAAACGATTAGTAATTCAATTTTTACTACTTTTTAAACAATGTTTAAATTAATATTTTTCATTTTATTATTAAATCCTGTATTAAATTTATTTTTTCTGCATAGAGTTCTATTTCGTCATCATCATTGGAAATTTATATTGCGTGGCCTAGAGGTCCCTATAGGTCAAAATTTGGGCCTTGTCTCCTGCTTCCATGAATTGTTCTATTTTTAATTCATTTGTATAGAAAATAATGATATTAATGTTGCGGGGGTTGCTTTTTGTGTACAGATGTTCCCATCTTTACTCATGGGCGTTGAGACCCATGAGGATCTTTAACGTCCGGACTTATCCCGAAGGGGACTTCTCAGACGCCTAGTGTTCTCGAAAGAACACAAGAAAGATTTTACAAGCATGGACTTGTCACATCCCTTGGCCAGCGAGGTGGTGCAATACTAGCCAAGTTCAGAAGTGCCCTGAAAAGACACATCCATACATGTGCCTTAAAAAAGGTAATAGGGATAATGCCTCCATCATTGGTTACCCCCAGGCACCAGGGATGATGGTCGGACTTTGCCTGGGCCCACAGGGAAGATGTCCCTATGTGTAGGACTCTTGTGTACAATCATACATTATAAATTTTCTTCTAAAAACGTTTTCCTGAGAATAGCATTGTTGTAGATCGACCGATTCAGTAATGTGATCAGCGCCGTTCAATTCAATAAAACACATTTATTGCTAAATCTGATATTTTTAAATTTAACCAAATTTGATTGTTATTTCAGAAATGGCATGGATGGCTGGCAGGGACAGGACGATGTCATATTTGGACAAGTTGGAAAAAACGGCCGTCCAACTCGGCATGGACCCGTCCACGTTCTCCACCCAGGACAATTCCGACTGTCCAACCGGTGAGCCGAGCTTGTAAGCACAAGTTTGAATCTCCCTCCACCACGGAAAGCTCGAAAAGGTTCGCGCTTCTCTGTGTAGATGGAAGCACGTGGACGGACGAGGTCGGCTTTCAGGATGCACACTTTTTACCAACAATGCCCGGCTTTTCGTTTAATTGAACAACAGCCGGATAGTTGTACCTGAAATATCATTAAAAATTATTTTTAATAAAGATTGTTAAAAAATTATTTTTTTGAATTTACTAAATTAGTTTAAACCTGGTTATTTACTTAGTCGAATCTCAATTTAATAAGCCCGTGAAACAATCCATCCATTAATGATTTCTTTCTAAACTTTATATATACAGACTTTTAAATTTGATGTTCTTCAATAATATTGAAATATTTATTTTTCATATCCCTCTTTCTTTAAAGACAATTTCATGTAAGGTGTATAATATTTCGTAATGTTATTGTAAAATATAAAAAGTGTGATTGTGAAAAGTTCTAAACTTGGTAGATCAATCGCTATGAATCAAAATATGAGTAAAATTATTATTAAACCGTTTGTTTCCAGACGCTCAAACGAGAGGCGGAATGTACTGCAATTAACTAATAACATGCCGTTGACGATGAGTGAGTTTGAATTAGCTCTTAAGCCGTGCCCGAAACTCTAGTTCAGGGTGTGACGGTGTCCCATGTACATGATTCGCCATCACTACCAGGGTGCGAGGTGGGACCTGTATATGGTATACGGGTTCCTAACCTGACTCTTGTATACTGTACATGTCCTTAAGGATGGCAGGGACTCGAGTCTAGCTACGAGCTATAGGCCGATTTTTCTGATAACCTGCTTGAGTACGCTCCTGGAGTCCATGGTGAATGTTCTTCTTTTGAGAGGAAGGGAGTTTACAATCAGTGTCAGGCTGGATGCTTTCCTGCTCGAAAGAGCTGTTCAGGACACTTACCTGAACAGAGATTCCTCTTGCCTGTTCTTTCATTTTGAGAAGGCATATGACACCACCTGAAGATACGCGAGACTACTCAAATAATCGTTCTCAAAGGTGAAATGCCGCATTTTTTATTCTGAGTCAGGTTTTCTTCAGCCCCCCTAATGGACATTTGTGCAAGGAACGGTAGACTCCTGTCATAATCAGAGTCCCGAAATCCCCGGACAAGATGAGAGCGATACGGCTTAATATCGTAAGTCTGGCGTACATCTCTAATTTTAGTTTTCGAAAAACCTAAAACCCTTCCAACATTTTGGTGAGGACTTTTTTTTTTCCTTGTGCAACCACACATCAGCCATGCCGTCAATCCGGGATGTCAAGCGGGGGAAACCGACGAGAAGAGGCCGCCGCGCCCCGGACAGCGACAGACCACGACCACGCAGCGGTATGAGCTGCCATGCTTTTTTTGTAAATTTTTTTTTTAAACCCCCCCGCGCTCGGGGCTAAACATCACCCAGAAAGCACGAGCAGCCCCCCAACCCCGCAGCCAGCCCGCCACCACCCGGATCGCAGCCGCCGCACCCTGTCGCCCCAACACCCCAGTCAACGCAACACAAAAGTCAGAAACAATTACTTGACTCAAAAGTCAATGAGATCAAAATTTTTCCGGAGAGAGAAGTCATTCATACATAGAAGCGACTGGGCGCCTCAAAGCACTGAGGTCCCCGAGACCCCGCCCCCCGGAGCGTTGACTGTTCAAATATCTATTTTACCCCCCCTTGGTGAATTGATATAGAAGCATGTAAACAGCGTCTCTACCTTCTGAAATTAGGGACTCCAAACTGAATGGTTTTGCTACACACTGCAAGGAATAGATCCTCTCCAGGAAAATTTTTCTCCTCTCCTCGTGTTCCGGGCATTCCATAATCAAGTGATTGAGGTCTTCTGGTTTATCACAAGTCGCGCAATTTGGACTGTCTCTCACTCCTATTCTGAATCTATGTGCGCCCCATAACCCGTGATTTGTACGTATTCGCACCATCGTGGAGAAAAAACGCCTCGAACCCGTACACCCTTGAAACCACGGCTTCTTAGGCACCATGGGAAACCTTAGCCTGTACAATTGCCCTCCCTGGGAGCCGTCATGTAGCAGTTGCCAATCGCGTAGCCACACTCTATTTAATGCCCTTTTGGCATCGCACTTGGTCATTTTGTAATCGAAGAAAGAGCCGTTTACTACGGCTTCCTTCGCGAACCTATCCACAATTTCATTTTCTCGGATGCCCGAGTGTCCTTTAATCCAGCACAGGGTGACTGATTTACCGTCACTAACCAAGTCTCTGTATCTCAATAAAATTTCCATTGTAACGTGATCGCATTTGGAATACGTGTTTATATTCTCCAAATGCGAAACCACGCTCCTGGAGTCAGTTAGTATTGCGATTTGGGTTACGTTCTGAAGCTTATACTGGGTGTATTCTAGGGCCTTGAGTACCCCCATCGATTCCGCGGAGAATATCGAAGCCCACCCTGGGAGAGAGTACCCTTCGTTTGTATCGCGTACTGGGTCGTATATGGCGAATCCGACCTTTCCGTCTACTTTCGAGCCATCAGTAAAAAGCAAGTAATAATTGGCCAAATTCGCTCTAAGGTATGCCCGAAACATTTTATTGGCTATCCAGCCTGGTACCCTGAAGTAGTCATCTAGATATAAGCAAGTGGGGGAGACAAATGCTGATGGGATTTGGAATCTGTAAACAGGGTCTATTTTACTTTTGTGGATAGAATATATTTCAGGTACGGTATCTACAAATGCTGAGACAATTGGTGGGGCTTTTTTGTGGAGCCAGTAGTTTGTGGTTAGAACTAACTCGGCCAGTAAAGATATCTTTGGAAGAATTGCGCTATCTGTTCTATGTAAAGTTATTATCCTATTAATGGCGAGTTTCTTAATACGAATCTTTAGGGGAGGCTCGGCCGCCTCGGCGTATATAATAACGTAGTAACGTAGTAAAGTAAATAACGTAGTAAGTATATACGGGGAGAGCTTTGAAGGCAACCCAGTATTCGTCTCAAACATTTATTAATGAAAGTTTGGATCTTATTTATGTGGGTATCTGTTGCTTGCCCGTAAAACACTGCTCCAAAATCTATCATTGATCTGATAGATGATATAAAAAATAGAAGGCCTGTGTATGGATCAGCCCATCATATAATACAACAGCCCAGCTTCCTCTAAAAATCGAAACAGAGGACTCAAAACTGTCGTATGGAGTTTTATCCTAAGTAAAACAACAAATCAATTGATGTGAAACAACCTTCAAAACGTGTTCAATAAAGGCCGAAAAACCGGTAAAAACTGGAAAAAAGAGACCACAGGCAATAACGCTCCGATACAAATGTAATATTTTTTGCTCCAATATCACCAAAAATGTTTTAATTAAAATCAGTTTTCTCTTTTATATTAATAAAAAGAAATTCTCACAAATTACCTTATTTTTGACGAAATTAATGTCAAACGTTTAAAACAAATATGTTTTTAGTATTTTCGTCAATAACCAGTTGATTAAACAAAACAACAGGTTTCCAACATTACCATTACCACATAACAACTATTTCTGCAAACATGGTTTTGCACTTAAACGTTTCTTCAGTCGACCTCAAATTCAATATGTACCACTATTCGACCGTACCTCTCTGGAAACTGAGAACCCGAGAGCATCCGCGATCTGGTGATATTGTCCAGGGCAGGATATTGTCCTAACTGGTAATCTAGAGCCTGGCTTTACAGTTATGCTTGATGCATTTTTCTTTCCATAATTAGCAATTAATTTTCTATGAATTTAAATTATAAATAAGTAAATTGGTTCTTACTTGAAAAAGTTGAAGACGATTAAAAAAAATAATAATGGTCAAAAATAGTAATTTGTGAATAAGTTGATAATGGTTGCTCGGCGTCAAAAACATAAAAAAAGTAAATTGATTAGTATCATACCATCTGAAATAGTTAAGCCCCTATTCGTATGGCGGTATTATGGAAAGTTAGTCTGAAACTTTTTGACTCATGGGAACCTAGAGAAAAATAAAAGATTGAATGCATCAGGGTTTTCCCCAAAACGCCCTATTAAACATGTATAGGAGGAGGGCGAGTAAAAAACGAGTGTGAAGACGCTGCTCTGTGGGTCACCTGATCAAACAGGAAAGAAAGTTGGGATTAATCATCGGTAAGGAAGGGTCTTAGGATAAAGTTATAGGTAGCTGGTAACATGTGCCTGAGCTTCTATAACAGTCCTGGGAGCTAAACACAACACCAGGGCAATACTTCTTTAGCCAAAGGGAGGTGTAAATGACGTCGTATATGAACCGTAGTATATTGTTAGTGAGAATTTCATTGACCAGGCAGTTTGTGGATGCGAAGCGAGGACCATTGCCGACTCAAACCACGTGATCCTGGCATGCAAAAGAAACACGATGGACAGGGAGGTGTTGTTCTCAGAACTAAAAAAATGGAGTAAAATTCCCAACAAAAATGGATATCGTACTCTCAGACACAAGAAACATCCCGGTTCTCGATGCACTCGTAGCCTTTATAAATAAGAACAATATACATATTTGACAACACGAAGTACATACGGCAGGAACGAATAAAAAATTAGTTTGACTCGTTCGTGGCGTGGGGTGGCTCGGAGACGGGTGAGTTTGGGTGGTGCTGGACTGTGGGGTCATAAGCAGCCTGGGCGTGTTTTGCCCTGGATTCTATAGGGATGTGGTCTTTTCCATGGTGTTGTAAATGGTTTTTATCCACATCCCCGAAAATGGAAACCATATATAGGCCCTAAAAAGAAATAAATAAGTATGAGTGCTGGTCCCCTTAGGCAGGCTTGGGCATTATCCCGCTTTTCGGCTGCGCCTTGCCGCCCCTTTGGGCTTCCGCATGCTGCGAAGGAGAGAGGAAAAAAAAGAAGAAGAAAAAAGAAAAAAAAAGAAATGGCGGATGCTCAAACGGCGATGCCACAAAAAAAAAAAAAACATGAATCACTACTCTATTGCATGTAATTTAGATACATTTACATTATTGACGTTTACATTATATTACATATATATATTTTTTTAAGAAATTTAATTCAATATTAATTATGATTATATATTGTTCATGTCCCGCAAGTTACAGTTTTTGTCAAATTGTTCAAACACTGTTACATTGTTTTCGCTGAGGAGGTTTCTTCGAGGATACGGCCAGTCCGATCCATTCAGTATGAGGTGTCTTATCAAATTTGATCTCTTTCCATCCAGCACTGGGCAGTGGAAGTAGTTGCAGTGGATCCACGTTCTGAACCTAGCCGCAAACGCACGCCGTTGATGTTGTCACTCCTACTCTATGCTAATATTTCATGTTGGGCCCATGTCTAAGGAGAGTCTCCGTCAGCTTTGCCGTTATATTGAGTGTCAATCTTCTCCTGTGCTGTACCTTTTGAAAAAAACTTTCTCGTTTCTTCCCTTTTGGTTGACATTCTCCATGCAAGATCCCATTTTGTAACTGTATTTTCGAAGAGGCATTTTTTTTAAACAGGAATGAAGGGTATTTATTATACTCTATTGGTATTTAAATGTCATCTGCAGCTTTTCTGGCTAGCCGGTCATTCATGCCTTTGATTTCGACATGTGCTTTCACCCAAAGCAAAGCCAATTGTTTTCCAGCTTCCGCCAATTGCTTGCTTGAACCCTGATATCTTCGCATAACTGTCCATGGTTCTTCGGATTCCTTATTGATATGATTGCCACCGTTCTATATGTATGAATAATGATTTTCTTAGGATCTCCGCTTGTATGCATCTGACGAGCGTTAATCCACATCAAAGCCTTAAAAATCGTAAGTTTTTCCGCTTGGTTATTTGAGCAAAATTTTTCCAGTCTGTACTTTTCAGAGTGAATTTTTTTCATTTTGTGGTAGACAATAAATGAACTTCCCACGTTTCCAATCTCTAGTTTGCTTCCGTCGGTATATATGTTAATTACATTTCTATCTTCTATCCATGTATCAATGGACGAAAGGTTTCTAATTTCAACCGTTTCAGCAGGAGCTGCATAAGCTGTAATGCACTGGTCGATCATATTCACCCTCGATGCTTTTCTTTATAATGTTTCCGTGGATTATGTCATATATTTTGCTAAATTGCTCGACCGATAGGGATAACATCGGCGATTAAGCATGCTGCTTCGTATGACATTATTTTATAGCCCTTGATTATGTTTATGGCAATAAGTCTTTGGACTCGTTGTAATGCCTTCAAATAGCTCTTGACTCTTAAAGCCTTCACCCGTACTGGACACGCGTAGGTAATCGTTGGAAGAAAGCCCCGTCGGAGATGATCTAACCATCCCTAACCAGACAGATTATTGAGATTTAAGAAGATGCGGAAAAAACCCATTCGGACATCTGTTAGAATATGATAGACAAAAGATATGGTTTTGTATGATATTTGAAAGTAATGATCGGTATGCTTGAATTTCCAAAACAGAACAGTGACAAACCCCGTCAAAGGCTTGGTGTAAAACCAAAAATAATCCTGGGGATAGTAGGAGTTAGGAAGTAGTTAGTTTAGAGTAGATTAAGATAATTAGATAAGTATGTTTAGAGATCATCCTTATGATTTATTATTATATTTAACTTATTTATAATTAATGATGAAATGTACAGATTTATAGTCAAAGATATCAACAAAGGATTCTGATGAATTTCCACCAGCACTTTATTATAAGCCTGAACTTTTTATAAAGTGATTTCCATCAGCCATGTTTTTTAGCGATGAAATTAATTCGAATAACTTGTAAAATATACCTCTCTTATTCCAATAAAAAAAAATTCTTAATCATCTCTCACGTCGAGCTGTTAAAGTTAAAGAACAGGAGGGTTAAAGGATTTTAAGTCCAGTACGCTATCTCTATTGATCCTGGACTTAGCAACAAAGCTCAATGGACCTTGAGAAAATCTTAAACATTTCTTTTTACTCTGTACACTCCGTGAGTGCTGCATTTTGTAAGTCGCTTTTGAAACTAGAATATAAAACGTTTATCGGTGGATCAAGATTTAACAGGTAGATTTAATCGTTCTTTCAAATGTAACCATTACTGCCAGTATACCAAGTATTTAATGGAATCATAAATTTAATGGAATCATTTTCATTATAGAGAACTTCCATTGCAATGGAAAATATGTGGTCCTGAGTACAGCGTTGTATAGGTATGTTAAGAATAGTAAGCCTCTGTGGGGCAAATTTTGTAATATTTGTTTTGTAATTAGATCATAACCTGGAGCTTTTCGTGAAGGTAGTCTATCAGATCTGA